GGAAAGAGTGAACTAGCTCCATGATATGCTGTTTCTTTTCTTTTTTTATGAGACAGGGATTCTCTGTATTGTTTTGGAGGCTGTCGGTCCAGCCCGGCCTCAAAATCACAGAGAACTGCCTGCCTATGCCTCCTGAGTGCCGGGATTAAAGGCATGTGCCACCACCAACCGGCTGATCTGCTGTTTCTAACTCGCCAGTGCAGGGACAGGGAAAACATAACAACACACTAGGCATTTTAAGTAGGTTTTGGGTACAGAATTCTTGCTTAAGCAGTGAGCACTTAGCTTGAGCTATCTAATTCAATGTGTGAGGCCTTTAATTTTTACAGTGTTATCTGTGTGTGTGCCTCATCTACAAAGTGAGCACCTGTGCATAAACACACTTCTATGTTAATTTGGAAGCATCATACTCAACAATAGGAAACCTTTTTCCATATGTGCTTCATACACACACACACTTGCGGAATGCTTTTTAAATGCAAATTTTTAAATTACATATATGATATTTGTTTGGGTAAGAATATATATACCATGGTGCTGAAACCAATATTTTTCTCAAATCCATGTCTCAATGTTCTTGTATGACATGCACTTGCCATCATTTGGACTGATTTTTTTTCTTTTTCTTCTTTCTTTTTAATGGGACAGAGTCTAGGAGGACCAGGCTATGCTTGATCCACCTGCCTCTGTCTCCTAAATGCTGGGATTACAGGAGTGTAACTCCATGCCCAGTTGTACTTTCTTACCATTTTATTCTCTGATAGTAATCTTTTCCCAATTGCTTAATTCTTACTAATCTTCACTGACCTACCAGTCCTTAATAAACTCAAATTACCAGTTGTACTCATTTTTCCTTTCTAACAGTCCCTAATATTTAATGTACTATTTTTTCTTATTTAAAATATAAACCCCACCTCTACCCTCCCTCTGATTATAAAATCATAATATTCAATAAAAGTAACCACTGACCATAATATAAACTCAAATGTAATTAGGAATTTGAATTTTAAGCATGAAATCTATAGAGTATTTTGTTCATACAGCTATTAATGTAACAATCTTTTTCTAACTTACCATGGCAACGTCATCTAAAATTCTGTGTAGCGGACTATGTGCTATAACTTAAAAGAAAATATATAACAATTATTATAAAGTTGTACAAAATCTCTCAATGGTAGGGAAATTTCTTGTGCCTGGAGGAGATTGTTATACTTTGAGGCACTAGATGTTCAGCCCTGGAAGGCTTGGAACTTAAACAGAGATCTGTCTTCCTCCCTATTGCAGTGATCAAAGTAAAATGGCACCATGCCTGGCCCTATAATTTTTTCCAGTGTGTTAGTTTTCAAGACAGGGTTTCTCTGTAGAGTCTTGGCTGTTCTGGAACATGCTCCATAAACTCAGAGATCTGAGTTCTTCAGCCTCCTGAGTACTGTGATTAAAGCATGCATCACTATTGTCTGACTCAGTTTTTCCCCACGGGTTCATAATCACTAAAGACGGTTCAATCATTACTATCAAGTTGCTTTTCTTCCCCTCATGCTATGTAACATAGGGTGACCTTGAACTTGCGATCCATAGCCTTATACTCCCAAGTGCTAGTATTACAAAAATCTGCCACACTTTGCTATGCAAGTCTTAATTCAAAATATTAAAAGGCAATACTAGTGGAAGAATGACATATTTATACCATTACAAGAATATGGTACTGCCTCTATAATAAACATATTATTATTAAAACAATATTTTTAAATTTAACTATGCTTTGAGGACACACGACAGAACACATCTTGCTGGATGAGGGCTGGGTGTACTGGTGCCTGCCATTAATTCCAGCACTAAAGTAATACAGGCAAGTTCAAAGTCAGCCTGGGCTACATGAAACTGTTTTCAAAACAAAAAGCATATAGGATTTAAAATGTTACACTCTGTATAAAAATAGCCAAGACACAACCTTTCCATAAGGTTAAATTTCTTCATGTATAAATATAGTAAGAACAATATTTGAGACTTGTATCCTAAGACTGTTACAAGATTAAAAGAAAAATTCCCATGAAACACAAACCCTGTGTCTGTCAAGAACTCTCTCTAATCAGTCAGTAAGTGCTAAACAGTATTCATAACAGTCACCAAAGATGGGTGACTGCCAAAGAAATTGAGGAAACAAACTACTGGCTACTTCTACAAATGCAAACCCAAGACAAAAGTGTGGCATGGCATTTACAGTAAAAAAAAGAAAATGTAATTGATAACAGACACCAGTTAAGTCCTTTCAGACTCAGAATCAAAGCTACAGAATGAAACTCAAGTTCGGAATTCAACTTTCAATATCAGGTCATTTAATTAAAACTGAATTACCATGTTATGTATTGGAGATGAAGGACAGGAGGAAAAAAACAAAGCCATCCTTAGAACAAACAAAATCCACTAATGTAACTTCTTCTTCACCTATGTATTCTATGATTTTCTTATTGATGCATGGCCTGATTCTTCGTTCCACCAGTAACTGCAAAACAAAGCCTGATTGAAAACCTAAAGAATTAAAACAACTTTCAAGATTAAAATAAGTCAACAGCAGAAGCACAGATGCTAAATCTGGGATTCAGGAGACAAATCGCAGAAGATGTGAGGTCCAGGAAACTGCCTCAAAATAAATAAATAAATAAATAAATAAATAAATAAATAAATGCATTGCTGTATGACTCAGTATTCTATGCTGGAGAACTCTATCACAGAGCTAGCTAAATTTCCTGATTTGTTTAAAACAGAATATTCATCAGTAGATTAATGGTTAACTGAGCATCTGGCACAAAAAGAATCTATATAAAGAAATGCAACCAAGAAACTCATGAAATTTGCAGGAAAATGGATGTACTTAGGCATAAAACATTAAGTGTTGTCAACCAAAGAGAGGAAATAAAGCCCTTATTTTCTCCCTCCTAAATGATGTTTAGCTTACCGTGTGTGTAAACACTATTAGGTTGTACAGTAGAGGAACATTTAAAGAAGGCTTTAAAAGTGTAGTTATTTTTTGTGAGGTCAGGATGTAAAATAAATGGACAAATTAATAAAAGGAGTATTTTTGGAATGGGAGGATGTAGCAGGGATATAAAATAGGTGAATTTAAAAGGGATAGTATTTTGGGGGAGAAAGATGATGTGTCAGTGATGTGAAATAAATAGATGAATATTTTCCAGGAATTGTAAAGTTGTTGAAATTGTAAAGACAAGAGACATAAAGCTTTTTTTCTGAGACAGGGTTTCTCTGTGGCATTGGGGGCTGTCCTAGAACTAGCTCTTGTAAACCAGGCTGTTCTTGAACTCACAGAGATCCGTCTGCCTCTACGAACCAAGTGCTGGGATTAAATACTTGTGCCACCAATGCTCACACTAAAGCTAATTTTTCTAATTTCCACTAAATGTTGTTTTTATTATTCTGTGTGTCATGTGTAAGTACATAAAAATATAATTGACACTGAATGTATCTAATCATAAGCAAAACTCCATGGCCTCAGAATAACATCTGTCTATAAACTTATTAACTGTATAGAGTGGCTCCTCTACCCCCATCCCACCCCTGGAAAGGGTTTCTCTGGGTAGTACTGGTTGTCCAGAGACTTGCTCTATACATTGTGCTGGCCACAAACTCACAGGGGCTTACCTCTGCCTCCCTAGTTTTGGGACTAAAAGCATGAACCACCACTGCCTGGCATAGCAGCTTTCTTAATATAGCTGTGTGATGTTTTTCTTGGTGAGTTTCTTGTAAGAAGGTGATTTTTTATTGTTGTTGTTTTGTTGGAAACAGGTTTTCTCTGCTTAGCCTCGGATGTCCTAGAACTAGTTTTGTAGACTAGGTTGATCTTGAACTCAGAGATACACCTGCCTCTGCCTTCTGAGGGCTGGGGTTTAAAGGCATGCATCACTACAGGCTAGCTACTATAAAGTGATTTTATGAAGGAGACACAAAAACATCTGCCACAGCATCCACTTAGTGACAAGATTCACCATGGCAAGGAGAGTACTCCAACTAATTTGCTATTACTAAAACCAAATAAGATTGTATGTCAATAACACTGAATACCAGTCCAAACATGTATTGTGCTACTCACAGAATCCACAATAGACCAATCCAGAGAATAAGAAAAGAGCTCAGGTTTGGCTGTGGGGATTTACTCAATGAGAATTTTAATATGCTTGCTCTTTTCATCAGTGTTTACAGTTTATCATCTTCTCCATAATCCGAGGGAACCAGTTTCCTTTTTCTGGGCACATCATCACTGTCTTCAACCTCGACTTTGTTAAAGACACTATCGACAAGTAGTTTCTTTCGCTTCACAGAATTAAGTTGGCCAGGACTATTGGAAGCACCTATAGTTAAAAATACGCATTATGTAAACATCCTTTTCTTTTTTTTCATATTTTTATAATATATATATATTAAATTTAAATTAGAAACAAGGTTGATTCACATGTCAATTCCAGGTCCCTCTCTGTTTCTCTCCCCTCCTCCCATGCCTATCCACCAACCCCAGCAATATCACCTCATTTCCCCAGGGAGGATGAGTCCTTCCATGAGGGTGTCCATAGTCTGTCATTTCATCCAGGGCAGGGCTTAGATTCCTCCCACAAGAGTTCAGGGTGAGACTGCATTTCTCATTGTCAGATGGGAGTCCACAGTCCATTTGTAAACCCGGGATAAATACTGATCTACTACCCAAGGCTCAATAGATTACCTAGGCATCCTCACTGACACCCACATTAAGGAGGTCTTGATCAGTCCCATGCTGGATTCCCAGGCATCAGTCTGAGATTCAAGAGCTAACCCTTGTCAAGTCAGCTGGAAAAAATCATTTTCAAATGCAAAATTTGACAACCCATCATCCCTCATGAAGTTCAAATATACTTCCACACTCTCAGAGAATCACAACTGTTTAAAAACCAATGTCTCTCTACTCACAAGTGCTAGAAAACTTAACTTTTCACTTCATCTCAGGACTTGAAGCAGCTGGAGAAATATGAGCGCTAGTAGAACTACGAAAATAATTGTGCACTAGAAAGGCATGGTTGAATACTTTGCTATCTATCCACCAAGGAGCTATGTATGTATATGGATTGTCTTTGTCCTTACAGTGAAGGTTGTTGGGATATTGGAGGAAAGGACAAAAAAGGAAGGCAACTGTAACATACCCAGTTTAAGTCTTAGACTTTTTTTGGCCTATGATCCTCAGTCTGCTGTTGTTCTGGTGAGTTTTTATGAGGATAATAATTCAACAGGGAGACTCATCCCCAGGAGTGTTGGGTGTTGCATTGCCACTGGCAGAGGACACAGATGGGTCAGAGTTGCTGGGTCTCAGAGTCAGTTTTAGACAAGGCTTTTGCTCTGGTTCATCTTCCTCTTCCTTAGGCTCTTATCATTTTTCTTCTTTTTCTTGCTTTTCTTCTTCTTCCTCTGATTCTTGCACTTGCTTTATTTTAGACTGTCTGTGCCTCTCAGCCTCTTGTTCCATCAGCAACCCAAATCCAACTGATTAACTTTTTAAAGACACAACTGTAACTCTTACCTATGCTTTACACACATTACATAAATCAGTTAACAAAAAAGATTGATTTGAACAGTGGGTTCACAACAAATTAAGATTAAGAATGAGCAATAGGGGCAGGAGAAATGGCACAAGTTAAAAGCACTGGTTGCTCTTCCAGAGGCCTTGGGTTCCATTCCTAGAATTCCCAAGATGACAGCTGAAAACTGACTGAAACTCCAGTCCCAAGGGTTCCAATACCCAGTAAACAACAACAAAAGGAACATGAAAACACATGATTTTGCTGAGGCATATAAAGTGTAAAAATATGGAAATGTTCCATTATTACTTGGTAGAAGAACTAAGTGTTTTAAAAATGGCAATTCTTAGATGAAAAAACAGAGTATGTCTTTTCTGCTTAAAAATAATGTCATGCTTAAAAATAAGACTGTTGAGTTGAAGAGATAGCTCCCTGACGAAAAGCATCTGCTGTTCCTGTGGATGCAGGTTCAGTTCTCAGAATCCACATGGTAGTTTCCCAACCATCATCATTCCCTTTTCAGAGAATATAAACTTAATGGTATCATCAGAAATATGATATATTTATTTACATGTAAGCAAACTCATACGCATAAAATAAAATTAACTAATTTTTTGAAATGATACATTATAAAATGGAAACATCTTTTAGTAAGAAAGTATTTCAAACTAATGTGTATTTCAAGTCAAAGAAAATGATAAGGGCAGCAGCTTTCTATGCAATCTTTTTTTTTTGGAGATCTTTTTTTTATCATTTTTTATTTTAATTATAAATAGCTTGTTTTACATGTCAATCCCAGTTCCCTCTCCCTCCCCTCTTCCCGCACCCCCCTTCCTCCCCTCCCTCTCACCCTATTGCCAAATCCTTCCACATAGGGGATATCTAGAGTATGTCATTTTACTCTTGGTAGGGTCAAGGCACTCCCCTAAGAGTCCAGGCTGAGAGAGCATCTCCCTTTGTGCTATACGCACATGAAGACAGTTTGTATACCAGGGATAGACACTGATCCACAGCTCAGGGCCCCATAGGTTGCCCAGGCCTTCTCACTGACACTCACATTTGGGGGGGTCCAGATCAGTCCCATGCTGGCCTCCCCAATGTGGGTCTGGGGTCCAAGAGCACTCCCCTGTTCAGATCAGCTGTCTCTGCTGGTTTTGCCAGCCCATTCTTTGCCAATTTGCTCATCACTCCTCTCTGTCACTGGGTTTCTTGGGTTCAGTTCAGTGATTAGTTGTGTGTTTGCCTCTGCATCCATCAGTCACACGATGAAGGCTCCCGGATGGTTATAGAAATCAAGTTCATTATCAGGAATGGGCATTCGAGGTGGTCTCTCCACTATTGCTTAGCTTGCCAATTGATGTTATACCTTTAGATCACTCGAGGTCACTCTGGTGCCTGATCTGTCTTCGATCCTATGATTCCCTCTTCCCCCTATTCTACCCCCACCCCCTCAACTTCCTGTTCCCCCATGACCAACTCCCTTCCTCTTTACCCCCTATATTCTTCCCAGGTCCCACTCCCCCCCAACCCCTCGCAGCCTCTTTGGAAATCAGTATGGAGATTCCTCAGGAAAATGGGAATTAATCTACCACTAGACCCAGCAATTCCACTCTTAGGCATTTATCCAAATGAGGCAGGTTCATACAACAAGGGCATCTGCTCCACTATGTTCATAGCAGCATTGTTTGTAATAGCCAGAACCTGGAAGCTACCTAGATGCCCCTCAACTGAAGAGTGGATAGAGAAAATGTGGTACATTTACACAATGGAGTATTACTCAGCAGAAAAAAACAATGGAATCTTGAAATTCGCAGGGAAATGGATAGCACTGGAAGAAACCATCCTGAGTGAGGTAACCCAGTCGCAAAAAGACAAACATGGTATGTACTCACTCATATATGGATTTTAGATATGGATCAGGATAGTGCCAGTCTGCACTTCCACAGATAGCGAGTCTGGGAAACAGGAAAGAACCTAAAAGATATGCATATATGCAATCTTATTAATGGAAGACTTATTTGACCTGTGAATTCAAGGGCCTAGGAAATAGCTCCATTAGATGCAAGATTTCTGTGCAAGCATGAAGACAGGACTTTGATTTCTAGTACCTACTACACACAAACCAAGCATATATGTTGAGATTGGAAAATACTTGGACTGATAGCACAATATTGAGATCCTCTGTCTCAAGTAACTAAGGGAGATTACTCCTGTGGAATGATACCTTAGACTGACTTCCGCCTTCTACAATGCACATCCTAAACTCCCCCAACACACACAAACAAGCACAAATAAATGTGTGAATTCAAATCAGTTTAATGACTTCTTTACCAAAAAAATAACAGAAGTACTAATAACCTACCAAATAATAGCACCATTAAGTCCTGAGATCATACTGTGTATTTTCTTTATCTACAAACACAAATATAGCATAGGTGACTTTAAAATGATATAGTGATTAAAAACCAAACAATGTCAGATGTAGTAACTCACCCTCTGGAGCTCTGCATATGGATCTGGAGGTCCTTCTGCCAGTAAGAATTGCTTGATTTCCTCAAGTTCTTCCTTCTCTTTCTTCCTAAATCGGTCATCAGCTTCCATTTCTTTTTCCCTATCACACAACCGTTTCTGAAGCACACTCCCCCTACAAAGGTAAAAAGGACTCATTTAATAACCAAATCACTGCCTAGTACCAGCAGTGTTTTTCTCAATAGCAGAAACCACAAAACAGAATGCTAAGACTCAAGTGTTCTACATCTATAGAACACCCAAGAGAGTTTGCTTGCTGTCTACATTAATGTGTAACAAGTAAGCATGCATTGCCATTTTACCTTAAATATCACTCTAATGTGTCTAACAGCAAAGAGGTAATTTTCAAGGAGAAGACAGCCTTTCTGTTCCTGTTCAAGTGAATTACCAACTCTTAATTTGTATTTTTTCAGGTGTGAAGACAATACAAGAACTCCTAAGATTTTGGGGATGAGAGTGTAACTCAGAAAATATTGAGTGAATGCTTAATAAGCATGAGGTTCATTGTCCCACCAAAATGAGTGGGTGTGATATACATGACTTTAATCCCAATCTGTATGCCAAGGCAGGAAGTTGTAAATTCAAGGCCAGCCTGAACTTCAAAGCAGAATGGGTCATCCTGTCAAAGACAGGGTGGTTCAATTCATAATTTTACAGTAATGTATCTCTATGGAGATGGTAGGTAGGGATCAGATGAGTCACTTTTGAAAACAATGAAGACAAATTCCTGAATCTAAATGGTTTTTCAAAAATGACCCTCCAGGTGGAGAGATCTCTCAGAGGTTAAGAGCACTGAGTGCTCTTCCAGGTATTTGGAGTTGAATTCTCAGCAACCACATGGTAGCTCACAACCATCTACAATTTAATCTGGTGCCCTCTTCTGTTAGGTAGGCTGAACACTGTACACATAATAAATAAAATTTTAAAAAATGATCCTTCAGGGATGGAGATATAGAACAGAAGTTAAGTGCACTGAGTTCAATTCCCAGCTACCATTCATAATGAAATCTAGTGCCCTCTTCTGGTAGACAGGCAAACATACAGGCAGAACACTGTATATGTAATTAATCATGAACTCCCCTCTAAAGACACATAAGACACCTGCATCCTCATATTCATAAACAGCCCATCAATTTACACTTGTGTACATATAGTACTTTGGACCATCTCTATCATCATCATAATCCTCTAGGAATTCTTTTAGTTTTTTAGCCTTTTTAGCCTTTGCAAAAATGAAGGACAAAGTATATAAAACTCGGGTTAAAATTTACACTATTTCCTTCCTTTTCTTAGGAAAATATTTCTACTTATTAACTGCGCTTAAAATTAAAATACTTCTCAATTACTTCACATATGAAATGGATATCGTTTTAAAATAATATATAACTCTGCTTTAAGACATATCTGAAACATGAAAAACATCCATGTATACAGGATGCTAAACAAATACCCTTTGAATATAATCTCCCAAGTACATTCTTTTACAATGAAATCTCAACACATTAGGAAGCAAAACACTATGATCATGTTAAATGTATTAAACAGACTAAAGCATCTTAAATTTCATTGAGTAGATAATACTGTAAGTGATTTGAGTAAAATCCAAGGTTTCGATTTAAATAATGTTCATATATTATGGAGTCACATCTATATGTAAATCAGATAATGGTTTCTGTTTATAATCACTGACTATCTCTCAGAAACCTCACTATAAAGTCTTGTAAAAGACATCCATAAGAATCATATATCTATTCTATAGAAACTTCTCCCTGAGTAACTCCCTGTATAATTTCCAAAATGTTTTGAGTGTTCATATCTCAAAACACTCACAATTTTCTTTACAGTAATTGCCTTATCTGCTTACATTGTTTATTTTTTTCAAAATTATGATCACTTCTCTATGGCCATCCAAAGACTGGGATATGATGAATACACAAATAAATGAAAGGAAAAATATGTTGACAAAATAACAGTATTCTAGCCCAGCAGTGGTGGCACACATCTTTAATACCAGAGCTCAAGAGGCAGAGGAAGACAGATCTTGTGAGTTCAAGGCCAGTCTGATGTACAGAGTGATTTCCAGGACTGTCTCCAAAATTACACAGAGAAAACCTCTCTCAACAAAAAAGACAAACAAAACTACACAGAACCCCCTCCTCGGGGAGGGGGAAGGAGAACACTGTGGACATAACAGCAATCTTATGCATTATGAATATTCAAAGTACAGCTACATGCAGATCAGGTTACAAATTGCACAACTCTGTGAAACTTTCACTAGTACTAAACACATCATTTACTTAAACAGGAGAAAATATCTATGTAATAAGACTTTTTAAAATTCATAAACAAATTGTTTTGTAAATAAAATTATTTCTCGATTTAAAGGTTTCAAATATGTTCACAGCAAGTACAGCATTACCTGTTTCCTCACCTTATTCCATCCCTTACCTTTGTATTTTTAATAGACAATGTTTCTGTGTGTAAACACAGCTGTTCTATCACTATAAACCAGGTTGACCTAGACTGCCTGTCTTTGCCTATCAAGTGCTGGGATTATAGGCGTACACCACCACCATAGTCAACACAAAGAACATAATATTGAAGCAATTTTTATCACTATACAAAGCAAATATGCCAACTGACTCATGTTTAACAGATATCACAGTAAATTAAACAAAAACCTAACTTTTAGCACCATACAAAGAGAATATGGTAGCATAGAAAACTACTTGGTAAATGCTAAATATAGCACTGCTTCAAACACTGCCAAGAGGAACAAAAGGGAGGCTTAGCAGTGAAGAGCAACAACAGTTCTTCCAGAGGGATGCAGGGTCAATTCCCATCATCCACATGGCCATTCACAATTTCAGTTCCAGTGAATCTGAAACCCTTGCACATACATGCATGCGAGCAAAACACCAATGAAAGTAAATAAAATAATAAATCATAGCCACGTGGTGGTAGTGCGCACCATTAATCCCAGCACCTGAGAGGCATAGGCAGGTGAGTCTCTGTGAGATAGAGACCAGCCTGGTCTCTAAAAGCTAATTCCAGGACAGGCTCCAAAGCTATACAGGGAAACCCTATAATGATCATTCTTCCCACCAGCCTGATCCCAGAGTCACGTTAATCCCTAATGACCACACAGGACGTTACACTAATTATGAAGCTTTTGGCCATTTTGCTATGGTTTCTTGATGGCTATCTCAGACTTAATTATTAACCCATAACTGCTAATTTGAGTATTTCCATGTGGAGCTCCCTTAACCGGAGATATGGTGTGAACCTCTTACTCTTCTCGCACCCTATATGGTGACTGACTGTGCCTCCATTTTCCAGAATCCTCCTGCTCACCTATTCCCACCTATCTTGCTTCCCTCTTGGCCAACAGTGCTTTATTAACCAAACAATAAAAAATACATAGGACTTCCCCCATCAAAACCCTATGTCAAAAACAAACAAACAAACAAACACACCATAACAAACCTACTGCAATAAACCATACAACAGCACTGACTAATTCAACAATTTTGCAGAATTTTTGTTAGAAAAACATTGGCAATATATATATATATATATATATATATATATATATATATATATATATATGTGTGTGTGTACCTGTGGATGTGACAACACACATGTGGAGGTCAGTTTTCTCTTTTCAACCCATTTGGTTGCTGGGGACAGAACTTTCAGGTGAAAGTTGCAGTCAAGTCTCCTATGTGTAGCACCTTGATTCCTCAACAAGTTTTTATAATCTGGAAAATATGACATCATATTACACATTCATTCTTAGTTTTTATAACCCACTAGAGTAGATTGGTATCATGAAATATTCATTAATGGGCAGCAAAATTTAGAAAGTGGGAGGAAGTGTATACTGAGGTGTTCTCAAAGTTGCTTGAAATAAAAAACCAGGTTATCTCTAAGATTTTGAAACCAACCTAATCTACATCTTATATTCCAAAACAGCCAGAGGTATAGGGAGACCACATCAAAACATATTAACTAAGAAGCTGTCATGCATTTATAAGGTTTTCTGTCTTAGAGTAAAATTGAATTATTTTAACTTGATAAAAACAACTTTTTTGAACCTAAAATCTAACCGTTTTTCATCTTCTTTCTTCTTCTCTTTCTGCCCCTTTCTCATATTCCCTGGTTTTCTTTCATTCTCTGCTTTCCCATTTCTTAAGGCACTAAAAAGAAAAGTTTCAAAGCTTTAAAATTTCACACAAGATTCTACAAACCATGGCTCACCAGCCTTTGTCACCAAAACACACTTTACAAGATAAAGCATTTCCTGTTTACCTCTTGATAAACAGCCTCTTACTCTCTCAGCATTGTTTCAAGTTTTCTTAGTTCATATACATGTTCTTCATCCTCTTCCCTGTGTCTTTTTTATCCTTCTCTTTCATGCACACTTTTTCTTTTTCTCGTTCAAATTCTCTTTTCCTTTCTCATTCCCTTTCTTGCCCTTCTCGTTCCCTTTCAAGTTCCATCTCTTTCTCTCTGTTCTTTCTCAATTTGCTGTCTTTCTTTTTCTTTTTTTGCCTTTCTCTTCTTCCAGGTTCTAGAAACTAATAAAAGTACTTTTAGAGTTAGTTCTGTGGCTCCAGTATTCAGACTTTCCCTGGCGCTATGTACAATATTTGTAAGAAAAGCATCAAACCACCAAGGTTTTAAATGTCTATGACTATTTGACAAATTAAACTGAAACATTCAGAAGGCTAGATTTCGTACAAAACAATATACTCTAAACAAACAGGATTCTTGAACTTAGGATTGGAAAAACTGTGTTGAGTGGCTTGTCACTGACTACATAATATGTAAAATAACCACAAAGAATGTGATGACTCTTAATAATTTCTAAAGAGACAATGGATCAATCAGCTAAAGCATAATTCTGCCTATTATCAGTATCCTTAAGTCAATGGAACAGTGATAATAATTAAAACCTTAGACATCTGGCTACTTGAATGTTACTTGATGAGGATTTTAAAGTAGAGGAGGAAATCAGACAACTCATGATACAACAATCTTCTGTTCTCTAGGTTGCACCCTGTCCACAAGAATCTGAAGCTGATTCTGCCACAATCATTTT